TTGTAAAATGTGCTTTAACACAGTGCCTGGCATAATAGTAAAAGCTTAATAAATTCTTGTTGACTCAAAGGATTATTGTGAGTCTCAAATGTAAAGTGTGTTGTAAACCTTAAAGCATTATATGAACGCTAGCTGTCATCATTGTCATCACCGTCATCATCATCATCATCATGCCTGATGATACTGAAGGGCACTGGAGTGCCATTTCTCAGAGACTCTACTATTGCTTATATCCCAAGGAAGCTAATGAGAAGAAGAAAGTCCCTATATACGAGTGGCATATTTTTGGGAAGCAAAGTAGAAGCCCATCAATTGGAGAATGGCTAAACAAAGTGTGGTATACAAATGTAATGGAATATTACTATGCTATAAGAATGATGTATGTGATCAATATAGAGAAGCATGGGAAGATTTACATGAATTGATGCAGCATGAAATAAGCAGAGCCAAGAAGACAACATGCACAATAACTACAATGTAAATGGAAAGAACAACCACACACTAAAAAAATCAAGAATAAATATAACAAAATTAGAAAGATCAAGCATGACTTAATGAAGATATATGAGAAAACAGTTGAACTCCACCCCTTTGTGGAGGTAGGAGGTTCACAGGTTGTTACACATTGCATGTGTTTTCAGACTTTTTTTTGGACATATCAATCAGTTGTGCCGAATTTTTACTCTTGAAAAATACAATTTGTTATATGGAGTGGCTCTTTGGGAGGGGAAGGATACCAAGGATAACTTATAATGACATAAGTAACAGAAGATATTGACAAAAACTTTTTTTTTAAACTTATTTTTGTAAAAAGAGGGAAGACCAGGAGAGAGGTGATGAGGGCTAGACTAGGGAGTGAAGAGAAGGGTAGAGATGTCAGAGATGTTTTGGGGGGAGAATCTATAAGGCTTGGCAACTAATTAGATATGGGTGGATTAGAAAGAGGGAAGAGCTAAGGATGATTTCAAGGTTGTGTACCTGGACAACTGAAAGGATGATAAAGCATCAACATCAAAAGAAGTAGGGAAGTTATTATATAAAGGAGATATATATACACATATATAGTTATAGTTATATAGTTATATGTATAAAAGAGAGGGTTTGAGAAGAAAAGATTAACTCTGTATTGTAATACCAAGAGGATTAATGGAAAAAAAAAACTTTATCTTTGGGACCCCAGTGAATCAATTATCTTTATTTTGGAGCATAAGTATGAATTATAGTGGGTGCCATAGTGGAAATTTTAGTTAGTAAGGTGATGGTGTTGTGATGGGGACAAGGAAAAGCTGATGAACTCATTCATATTAGACTGAAATTTTGCACAGTCAGACGCTTCATAATATCTGCTATTTTAGAACTCCTCCTTGTGGCCTCTTAAACTTGTTTCTCCCACTACAAAGAGGTTCCAGATGAATATATACTGAAGTTAATCTAAATAGAGTGAAAAAATGTCTGAATCTGTAATCATAATTTCAGTTCCTAAGTGTTAAATTCAATGACTGCAAAACCAGTGATCAGATGTGTTAGAGATGACATGAGATGACTTCAAAAGGCAAAACCCCACTATATTTAAATATCAGTGGAAAGTTATATGAACTATCAGCTACAATTGCTGTATTAGATGATGTTGCTTAACTTTTCATGGTAAGGTTATTTATTTATGAGGGTTTTTTTTAAATTGAGAAGTGATTGATGTCTTTAATGAAAATCTATTTTAAAAAAACATACTCCATTTTCCCTTCAGGGCCGAGACAGCATGACTGCTTGTGCCATCCAACAAGTTAACTAACATGAGAGATTCTCAAAACTGATAGACAGCTCAAGTGTGGTGCTGCCTGAAAACAGTGTGATTTATATACTGAATAAGTTCTCCTGGTCCCTTCCTGGCCCATGACTCTATGATTTGTAGTAAATACTTTAGGTACCATGTAGATTAAAGAACCAGCAGAAATTTAAAGCAAATATTGGTCATCACTTTTTATTGCCACTTCCAATAGTCTCCTTGCCATGGCCCCACTCTCTAATCATATCCACTCCACCAGAAATTTGGCCTCCACCCTTGACTTCTGTGACTGACAGGGTGAGCCTCTGTGCCTTCTCCAGCTAGGAACCAAGCCTCCACAACACTAACATTTGCTGTAGTCTTCTCAACATGCTTTGGCAATATTTTTTTTCCTCCTCTTTCCTTCTCTCAACTTTCCAGAACCCCTTTATGGACTGTTCCCCCATTAGAATGTAAGCCCCTTTAGGGAAGGAATTATCTTGTTTGCTTTTACTTGTATCTCCACAAGTAAGTGCTTAATAAATGACCCACTTTCTCCCTCTGTGTCTCTCTCTCCCTCCCTCCCCTTCCTTCTGTCTCTCCTTCCCTCCCTCTTTCTGTTCTCTCTACCTCCTTCTCTCTCCCTTCCTCACTCCCTCTACTTCTCTCTCTCCCTATTCCTGTTTTCTCTCCCTGCCTATCCTCTCTCCCTCCTTCCCTCTTTCTCTCTCCTCTCTTCCTACCCCTTTGCTCTCTGTCTCTCCTCTCCCTACTTTCCCCCCCCTCCCTTTTTCTTTCTTTTCCTCCCTCCCTCTCTTTCTATTTCTGTCCCTCTTCTTTCTCTCTCCCTTCTCTCTACTCTCTCTGCTTTCTCTCCCTCTCCTCTCACTCTGCTTTCTCTCCCTCTCCTCTCGCTCCTTCTCTTTGTCTCTAATTCTCTGTCTGTCTGTAAGGGAAACTGAGGAGATTCTCCCCAGTCCCTCGCACGACCGCCTCATGACCTGACATAAGTAATGTAGTTTAAAGTTAGTATGCATGACCAGGAGCACCAAGGGAACAGAACATCAAAGAATAAAACAAACTATGTTACCAGGGTGGAACAACTCTTACCTCAAGGAATGTCTTAGATTCCTTGAGGAAAGCATGTACGTATCCAAGGAACTGGCCTCTCCTTGGATAAGTACATAAAAAATGGGCATCTGGAGCTTTGGCCAAGCTCCACCTTTGTTCTAGGGTTGTTCTCCCATGGTTTACATAGATATAAAAAGGGCCATGTGGGAAAGGGACTTTTGGAGGTCTTTGTTTCAGAGATAGGGACGCCCACTCTGTTGACTTTCCTAACTGAGACCCCAAAGGCTGTGATACAGGACTTCCCCAGCCAGATGTTCAAGAGTGGGTGCTTCCTCGGATTGGTGATGTACTTCTTCTTTATCCCTCTATCTTTCTGTTAATAGCCTTTGCTTCTAAGATTGTGTAATCATATGTAATCACATTTATATGCATGTATATTTATGATTATTACCATTATTAAATCATTTATAGCCTAGGAAAAGTGTGAACGTGTCTTTGTGGGTACAGATCTGAATCTATGAAACAAATTATAAGTGCTGCAGCCCATAACACCTTACTATTACACTGTTTCTGTCTCCGTCTGTCTTTATCTCTGTCTCTCTCCCTCTTGGCCCAGAAAAGGAAGATATGAAGACATGTACAGGAGCCAATTCAACGTAGTAGGAAGGCAGTAAAAATGTCGAGGGGCAGAAGTAAGGTAGCAGTAACTCATGTCACGTTATTCTTTCTAGCCATCTGCCTCCTTAGTGGAGTAGCCCAGCTACTAGGCTATCTCCTCCAGGTTCTCCTAAGTCCTAGGCCCTCCATCACCTGATAACAACTGTCTCCAACTCCAGCTCTCTCCAGATTCTTCAAACCTCAATCCCCTGCCCAAACTTTCTTTTGTTCCCTTATCCAAATGCCAACACACTTCTAATCCACAGTTCTCAGGAAACTGGTCATGATCCATTCAGGACTCTGGATGGAAGAAGAGAACATGAGGAGTATGGAAGTGGTTGCAGATAACCAGGGAAGACTATAATTACACACTAACCAAAAAATACGTAGTATCCAAAAGCAGGGTCTGGGCAGAGGCAACAAATATCAAACATTAGGAGGTGCATTTTCTCATTAATACTAATTCACAAAAAAAATTCAAATTAAAAGCAGGAAAAAAAATGTTTCTGTATGAAGGTATAACAAAATCTGACTATGTATAAAGCTTTTTATATACATGATCTCATTTGCTCCTCACAATAAGTCTACACAGTCATCCCCACACACAAATTCTATGTAACGCAGGCATTCTCACCCGTTTGACAGATGAGGACCCCAAGACACAGAGTGGTTGACTTACCCCAAGGTCACACAGCTCATTACTGCCAGGGCTGGAACTCAAATTCAGGCCCTCTAAATCCAGGACTCTTTCCATGCAACCATACTACCTTCCCTTGTTGTAAATGGCATGATGTAATATAAATAAAACTATCTCAATGTGAAGCCACAATCGGGCATGGTTTCCAAGCCGAGTGAAATTAGTTAAGTAGTTTTTTATAAAGTCAGGTTCTTCAAAATGTTTTTTAGCTCACATGTGAAAAATATAAATTCATGTACACTTGTGGCTTTTTGGTTGTGTAACATTTTTATGTTAGAAGTGAAAAATATAAATTTGAATGATGTCCTTACGTATCACAAAACACTAAAAGAATTTACTGAAAATAATCAGCATTTGTAACCATGTTTAGACAGTAACAGATATATGTCTAGAGCTGATTATGAAAGATACATACTATCTGAATGAGGTTACCATACAAATTCTGAAAAGACAACATGAAGCCTACAGAACTTATTATTGTTCAGTCACTTCAGTCGCATCTGACTCTTTGTGACCCATTTGGGGTTCTCTTGGCAGAGATCCTGGAGTGGTTTGCCATTTCCTTCTCTAGCTCATTTGACAGATGAGGAAACTGAGGCAAACAGTAGTAAATGACTTGCCCAGGGTCACACAGCTGTTAAGTGCCTGAACCTGGATTTACCAGACCTGGCATTCTATCCGCTGTGCCACCTACAGGACTAGGAAAAAGTAAATGATGGGGAACCTGGAAAATGAAGGTCTGCAAAACAAAATCACATTTAATACATGATATTATAATAAGTGGAAAAGAATACAATTTGTGTAACATCTTACCTGTAGTTTCTGAGTCAGTGAATCCCTCTGTTCCTGTAGTTCTCTGGCATTATCAATTTCTTGTTTCAATTTTTCTATTTCCTGGGAAAGGCAGAACATTGAGTGTCTTTAACCATGCCTAACCCTTAACAAGGAAAGGAGTGACCTTATCGCCTCCTGAAAAGATCACCCCGGGCCCAAGAAAACATCATTTCAACCTTGTGCTGATGCTGACTTTTAGGGAGAGTCCCTCCTTACACATAGATTTCTAACACGGTGTGATCTTTAATAGCCACAGAGGAGGCCGCCATCCACCTTGGATGGCTCAGGTTCAGCTGTGCCCAGAGCCTGGATGCTGGTCTTGCTGACTTCCTGGGGGAGCTTCCCGCCTTCTGATGGTGGCTCTTTCTTCAGGAATGGTGGGACCTCGTGGCTGGCAATGATCAACACCCTCTGAGAACGCTTCAGCCTCCTGACTGCATTTACTCTCTAATGATTTCCTTTACTCCTAGGGACGCTCTTACAGCAGATGCAATAGACAGAGTTTTAGAATGAGGACGGCTTCACGTGTTATGTGTACATGCCGAGTGACAGATCAGAGACTATGACAGCAAGTTCAGTTATTTAAGTGAAAGGGCTATTTTACAAAAACATCATGCTTATCTTCCACAGAAGCACTATTACACTTCATAGCGAGGCACACTAAATAACCTGTCTGCATTCTACACGTATCTTAATGAGATTATGTTAGTGAGTGAACATTAACAAATACCTCCTCTTTCTTCTTCAGCGTTTCCTCTAGTTCCTGTATTGTTTGATTTAACTCGGCCTTGTGTGTATGGACCGCATTTGCTTGGCTGCTCACACACTCCAGCTCGGTCACCTAAAAAAGGAAATGAGCCCCCATCAAATGAAGTGGTAGTAAAGAAAGGTTCCTTGACAATGACATGAAAAATGCCAAAAGGATTACCCATTTTGAATTAGTCCATAAAAGAGGATTAAAAAAAATAATGCCTGATCTATAAGAGGGAAGACCTACTAGTATCTCCCTACCATAATTATCTTTTCTTAAATTTTACACGCACAAGTCTGTAGTGCAGCTTTTGGGCTTTAATAATTTAATAAACATTTCCATAGTGCTTTACGGTCGACACTTTACAAACATCATCTCATTTGATCTTCACAACAACCTTGTGAAGCAGATGTTATTATTATTCCTATTTTGTAGACGAGGAAACTGAGGCTGACAGAGGTTATGAGGCTTGCCCAAAGTCATACAGCTGAGTATACTTATTTTGCATATATTTTTATGTGTTTATATTGTCTCCTTTTATAGAAAAAGCTCCACAAAGAGAGGAATAGCTTCATTCATGCATCCCCAAGGCCTGGCACATACTAAGTGTTTAATGAATACCTGAGGACTGAAAGACTAGGTGACAGACATAGGGTTTTATGGATTAGGATTAGGAAAATAATAAAAGCATTCATCACTCTTTTACATGGACTTGATAAAGTTTGAGAAATCAATACACAGTGACAAGTATAGAATCCCATACTGAAAATCTCTTTTAAACTTTTCTTATGAAAACAGACTTTAAAATCAGATGTGGCCATCTATTCCCCCCCCCACCCCTCAACTTCTTATTTCTGAATTCTGAAGCTAAGAAGCCTGGCTTCTCCAAACAACGATATTTTTCTAAGCTGTTTCCAAAATTTAAGATGATCCAGAAAAATGATGAACTTAAAATACAGCTGCCATCATACTAAATTACAGTTACTTTCATTTTAAGTAGCCCTTTTTATCTTGAAATGTACCAGTTAGTCAAAGAGGTGTTCACCTACTCCTCACATGGAGAATATATAGGAAAGAACAATTTTTTTTTCCTTTCACTTGGGAGATTTTATTTTTGTAGTTGATTACTAGCAGGGATTTGAACAATGGGGTAAGTGGACAGATTTCCATGTCTAGTTTATAGTTTTACTTTGGATAGTACAGAATGATCCCAAAGAACCAGAACATTATCAGCTTTTGTCAACATGTTTATTACCTTTATCATAAACTTGTCCCATAGACACACACACACACACACACACACACACACACACACGCAACAATAACACCACTAACTGGTGGGAACAATTTTCTTCCAACAATTCAGGATACATAATCCAAGTTATTATACGTTTCTACACGTGCCAAATATTCCACGGAGGCTTAGCTGTACAGTATCTATGTTCAACTTTCCTGTGACCAAGGCAACCCACTGGTTTTACATTCTTATGCCTATCAGAACTGACCGTACCCGCTTGTGAAGGCGCTCAGCTTCCTCCTGATAGGCGGCAAGTTGCTGCTTCCATTGCTTGACATTGGCAGTGGACTCCAACAGTGCCGCTGTGAGCTTGGCATTGTTACCTTTCAGCGTTGCCAGTTCAGCTTCCCAGTGTTTGCTGATGGCTGAGCTAAAACACATTTAGAGAGAATACCAACCATTACAATACAACTGGTCACTGTCACCCTTTGGGGATTAGGAGTAGTACTTAGCACCCAATGATTGAATTTAATGAGCAATTCAAATACAAATAATTCTAGGAGCAATAAAAAAAAAAATCATTCCACTGAAATGTCTCCAGGGAAGAAAACTACTGGGTTAATGAACAATTAAATAACTTCCAGTTCAAATTCCCAAAGTAGTCAACTCTAGGGACTATTTTGTTCTTTAGTTCAGTGGCTCCCACCTTCATTTTTGCAGCTACTGAGACATACAGGAGTGTTTGTGTGATTACCTCCAGGGACTAAATATTATATCCTGAAAATCACTTAAGAATAGAACTGAGCAGTGGGTTGTATTCCTTAAAAGACACTGAAGCCTGAGATTACACAATAAGAGTGACAATGTATTTTAAAATGCAAGTTTAGGTATCCATATACAAAGACAGTATGATTTGTGACATGTCATTTACTCTTTTGATGTTTTATTCCATTTTTTTTTAGCATTTAAAATTTTTAATACCAAATTTTGCCTCAAAATATTGGTTTCTAATCATGTATCATTGTGGAAGTAGAGAGTAATCCTAATGATCTAGATTTCAGAGACAATTTCAGGTTCTGTTTTCCTTCCTTGAATTTAACGTTACACTGGTCAAGTAATATTCCATGAAGAACAGCAACAAAGAACATTCTCTAAACAAAGACAATTCCATTAATTTTGGAGAGCTTCCTCCTGAGAATTTGCTTCTCAATTTCACCATAAAGAAAGAATTAGTTCATTAAGGGAAATGAGTTTATTTTTTTTCCCTTATCACTGAGGAGTCTGTTTCAATTGCTGGATTTCTGCTAACCTTTTTCTACTTAATTAGTGATGCTTCAAGACTTTCACTTGAATCATCTCCCTTAATTTTGATAAGTCATTTACATCGCAGGACAGGTATCCTGAGAGCTCTCTGTTTGGCAGAAAGGAGTCCTTAGTTCCTATTATCAGTATTTCTAAAACTGACTCCTTAGTACAATTTTAAAAATGAAAGAAACCTCAGGAGTGGATTGAAGATGTTCAGGGCTGTGATTTTAACACCCAATTTTCCATCTTTGAGGACAGAGAAATATTTCTCAGATAGTATCAAAAGAATCAAAAGTTAGAAAAATTACTGTCACCTTTTTCTTATTTTTACTGCTATCCATAACAGCTTTTCTCAGTTAATCAGTTAAGATAATAAATAGAGAAAAAATGTAAAATTTGTCTAAGTCTTGATACTTAAGACTAGTTTTCATTCAGGAGTAGAGATGATAATAAACATATTCTTCCAACTGCAGGGTTCCCAAAAGACCTAAGACTGAAAATTAATTCAGTAAAAATAAATTAATCAACAAACATTTATTAAGTGCCAATTATGTGCCTGAGATTGTATTGGGTGTTTGAGGTACAAATTGAAAAGGGAGGTAGTCCCTGCTCTCAAGGAACTTACGTTCTATTAAAAGATAACGGTGAAGTTAAATACAGTACATGGGAGACTGGGTCTTTAATTAAAAATAAATATAAATGAAAATAAACTTTAATTAATACAATAATATATGATTTACATGTAGGGTTTCAGAACATCTCAGTATTTCAATTATTAAAAAATTAAAATTAAAATGAATTTTAATTCAAAAGTTTAATTCATTATAATTTTGCTTTAATAATCGAACAAAGAGAGAGGCAACAGAGTGTAGTGGATAGAAAACAAGTGTTGGAGCCTAGAAGATCTGAGTTCAAGTGCTATCTTTGACACATTCTGGCCCTGTGATCCTGGGCAGATCACTGAACTTTTCAATGCTCTAGGCAACTCTCTCAGACTATATTTTATAGAGAAGGTGCCAGCATGTTTTAGTAGATGATATTTTATCATCTGGCAGTTCCCTATCCCAATGAGACTATAGGTCTAATCTCCAGACCAACTTAAAAAGAGATTTATCAACCTATCATTTTCTAAAAATCAGTCTAATCTTCTCCAGGAGGTACAAAGTATAGACACAAAGATAAATCTGGCATCTTCTCATATTATTCATTCAATATAAATCTTCCCTTATCCTAGACGAATGGTTATCAGAATAACTGGTTAACATCCAAATAGAAAAGGTTACAAGATACTCAACAGTTAATCTTAAAAAAAATACATTAGGTTACAAGGGCTGAGTTTCTATGTGGATGAAATAGATTACAGCCTACATGTTACGATTTCAGAGATTGATAGAAGGCTTACCACCATCCCTATCCTCCCAACCCCCAATCATCCTTCTCTATTTCTCTGCATCCTTGCTGATACCTGAACTTCTTTTAATGGTAGTCAAAGTCCATCATTTCACAATGACCAAGAAGTCCATGATACAATTACTCTGATAAATTTATATTAAGATAGGGGCAGTGAGGTGGCTCAGTGGATAGAGCACTTGCCCTGAAGTCAGGAGGACCTGAGTTTAAATGAGATCTCAGACACTTACATGCTGTGTGACCCTGGGCAAGTCACTTAACCCCGACTGCTTCTTTAAAAAAAATTATATTAAGATAAATGACACCAGATTCTTTCCTGAGAACAGAGGAAGCAGAGTACAGAAAGGGAAGGCCTACAGGAACTGAGGTCAAACTCAAACAACTCGACAATACTGCCAATGGCCAGCCCTGTTTGGATAGGTGTACTCTTCAGCTACAGTTGCTAAGTGGTAAACCATATGTTGCATGCCTAAAATATTTTCAAAAGGAAAAAAAAGCCATAGGCATAAAATGAAAAAATTAATGTAATTATAGGCGGCAAGATTTTGTACAGGTCAGACTAGGAAGTGGGACTTCTTTTGTGGTTGAAGGATATTGATAGGGTGGAGCCAAATTATACGAGGCCTTAAAACTAAGCAGAGGTGTTTAGACTTGATCTAACACCTCAAGAGGGGGGCCACCGAAGATTCCTCAGCAAGGGAATAATAAGGCAGGTGGTATTTAAAAACCACAATCCAGGTCTGATCATGGTGACTGCCTGAAATTGGCTGATGCCAATGAGAAGGAGAAAGGGTGGGAGGAGTCAAAGATGACTCCAGTTTCAAGCCTGGGAGACTGGGTGAAGGGTGGTGTCATGAACAGAAATGAGGTAATTTACTGCCATGGAGTAACGGGCATTAGAGGGAAATTATTATAGCCTGATGTCATTTTTTTAACTCAGCTTTCTTCTAATTAAGTATTTTCTGTGCCTGATTTTCCTGAGCTAACAGATGATCCCAAATTATAATTCTGAAGCTAGGCAGTGGCCTTAACACTCATTTAAGTGACTTTATCTAAGGTTACTTAACTAGTTAGTGGCAGAGATGAGATGAGAACCTAGGATGTAGCCTGACTCCTAATCTAATTCTCATTTCTACCAGTGTGCTAAGCAAAATAACCAGGACTGCATTTACACACGAGATCAGGAGTTCTTAACCTTTTTTGTGCCATAGGCCCCTTCTCAGAATAATGTTTTTTAAATAATTGAAGGAAATGTTAAGCTTTAGTTAAAGATTAGTGGGGGGGGGGGGAGAAGGTGTAATTATTGTCCTATCCACATTCACAGATCTCCTGAAGTCCACATATAAGACTCCTTGGGAACTCTAGATTAAGAAAACCTGCTCTGAATGAAGATGAGGTTTTTTTTTCACATCTACTTGTTCTTTCCTTTACAGAGATGAGTTCATTTTAAATGGAACCTTCAATCTATTAATTGATCATAAAACACTCCAGAATGATATTTGAAACCTTATCCAGCTAATTTAGTAATCTACCATATAATCTCAACTCTCTCAAACATGTATCATGAGAATTAGAATGACTGTGTGTGTGTATATATATATAATATATACAAATGTAACATATATGTGTATAAAATAGTCTTCTTTTAAAAGTTATATAAACATAAAGTAAGGTTTTCATTTTTTTCAACCAGGAAAAGAAGAAGCAATAAATGAGAGATTTCTTTCATATGCTACCTCTGAGGATTTTATTTTATAGTCAAAACAAGATCTCTTTAGGGAATATGAACTCATTCTACATACTGAATCTGTCATTAAAGCAGTGTGATCTTGAAACTTACCTGGGCCTCAGTTTGCTCCTCTGAAAGATGAGGGGATTATCGATAATAATATCGATAATCTAGTACTTTGTGGTTTGCAAAGCACCTTAACAAATATGATCTCATTTTGACCTCACCACAACCTTGGGAGGGTTAAGCTAGCTGGTTAGCTAGCTCATTCCTATTCTCATTTTACAGACGAGGAAACAGAGGCAAACAGAAGTTAAATAACTTGCTCAGGATAAGACTTTTGTTGTTCAGTCGTTTCAATCATGTCCAATTCTTTGTGACCCCATTTGGGTTTTCTTAAACAGACACTGGAGTGGTTTGCCATTTCCTTTTCCAGTCCACTTTACAGATGAGGAAACGGAGGCAAATAGGGTTAAGCGGCTTGCCCTGGATCACCCAGCTAGTAAGTATCTGAGGCCAGATTTGAACTCAGGAAGATGAGTCTTCCTGACTCTAGGCCCATCACTCTAGCCGTAGCACCGCCTAGCTGCTAGTCAGCTGGCTAATTATTACACTCATTTTGTAGAAGAAATGGAGGCAAACAGAAGTTAAGTGACTTGCTGAGAATTAGACTAGCTGATCCTTAAGGTCCCCTCCAGCTCAGACATTCTGTGACTCTATAACGCTGGTGCTGTGTTGAAATCAAGTACCTGACCAGCCTCACCAAGCACTCAGAATAATGGTCTGAGATGCAATTTTTCACCTTTCCTAATCTAGAACATTGCATGCAATATGAAGTAAATATTCATGCTCTCCGAAAGACTGGCCTTGACTTCTGGTTTAAAGCAAACCAAGCCCTTCAAATTTAAGTCCGCTGACTTGCCCATCCTTCTATTTTGCTTTACAGCCAAGTCAATCCCCTTCTGGTGTTCCCTTTATTCTCCCCC